GAGTTTCGCACTACACTTTGGGTGCTAAAGAAGGAATGAGAATGGAGTTTGTCTTACCCTCATTTTGACTGTTTTCTGGGAAAGGGCGTATGGTCCTTACACATGGAATAAGTTACCTCTATTCCCGAGCTGTAGTGTCTCTTGAGATTAATCCTTGATCATTATTCCTTTCAATTCTTCCTTTGATCAGTCACCTTTTCCTTGGTTCAAAATCACTGTTTCTTCTTTGGGTTAATCACATTCTCTTGGTTAATTACCCATTCGTTGGTTAATCATAATCTGCCTGCTAAAACCTCTTTTTCTTCTTCCCTAGCGAAGTCGCAACCCTTTCTCTAGTCAATCGTAGTCTGCCTGCTAAAACCAATTTTCTTCTTCCCTAGCGGATTTCGCAACCTTCTCTTGGTTCTCTCTTCCTATTTTTTGGTTAATCATTGCCTATCAGTTAAAACACCATTTGGTCATTTTCTCAGTTAACCGTAGTCCGTCTATTAACATACTGAGTTCCTTTTGGGTTAATCACCTTTTCTTGGTTCATCACTCGTTCCTCAGTTAACCATAGTCCTTCTGTTAATATACTGAGCTTCTTTTGAGTTAATCATTGTCTCCTGGTTAATCACTCATTCTTTTTGGTTAATCACAATTTATCTGTTAATATCGAGTCCCCTGCAATTAGCAACCTTTATTTGGTTCAAACACTTGCACCTTCGGGTTAGTAACCTTATTTTGGTCCAAATACCCTTTCTTCAGTAAAGTACTGCTTGTTCAGTTAAAGTACTGAGCCCTTTGGGTCACAACCTTGGTCTGGTTCCACACCCGTCCTTTTGGGTCACAACTTTTGCTTGGTTCCACACCCGTCCTTTGGGTCAAAACCTTCGCTTGGTTCCACACCCGTCCTTTGGGTCACAACCTTTGCTTGTTTCTACATCTGTTCTTCTGGTTGATCACCATCCATCGGTTAAAACCAACTCATTTCTCTTCTCGGTTAACCACTGTTTATCATTTAACACACCGAGTCCCCCAGAGAGTCAAACACCTTCTCGCGGTTCAATACTCTCATTTTCCTAGTTGATCACAGTCTGTCTGTTAAAGCCAACTTCTTTCTTTCCCCGTAGAGTCAATCTCTTTTCACCCTTTTCTGGTTAATCACATTCTGTCTATTAACACCCACATTTCTCCCCTCAGAGTCATAATCTTTTCTTTCTTCGGTTAACCACTGTCTATCAGTTAATACATCGCATCCCTTGTGGAGCTTATCCTATCTTGATTTGATTCCCTCCTCCTTTATTCTCTTGGTTTCGACACCATCCTTTTGCCTTTATTTCCTGGTTTTGACACCGTTTCCTCTTTTTTTTCCCAGTGGGGTCGTTCCCTCTCTTCATTTTCAGGTTTTAACGCCATTCTTTTGTCTTCCCCAATGGAGTCTTTCCTTTTGTTTTCGTTTTTGGTTATGACACCATTTTCCTTTTCTCCGTCCTAGTTCCCCAAACTACGAAGCTCTGACTTCCTCATTGCACTGTGAGGATGCGTAGGCACGAGATCGTGAGATCTTGGTGAGCTACCTTCTAGCTTCTTCTGTTCTTCTTCCTCGTCTCTCCTTCCTTTCCTTGGTTCCATGAACTACGAAGCTCTGAATTCCTCATTGCACTATGAGGATACGTAGGCACGAGGGCCCAAATCCTCAGTGAGCACTTTCTTTCTTTTTCCTTTTCTCTTTTCTCTCTTAGCTAGAAGCTTTTAGATAGATAACTCATCCAATCCTAGAAGTAAGCAAAACGGTTCTCGTCAAATACGACAGATGCGTGAAGTGCTAATCTCTTCCTCTCACATAACCGACCCCCTCACCCATTTCTCTTCCCTTTGAGTTTTATCGTTATTTTTCCTGTCCTTTAGGACTAAATAAAGTTCGGTGGCAACTTTGTTGTACCTTTGAGTGTGCGATTCACACATGTATAATCTCACTAGCTTCACATCCATTATGGGCGAAATCACTTAGCCCAGCGTTGGGGGCTATCTATAATTACCCTCCTCTAGAGAAGGGTCAGGTATTCAATTCACTTCTTAACCACTGTACTTGCCTTCTTTCACTTTGAACTAACTTCAGCATCAGAGTGCCTTACAGGTACACCCCCCATTTTCCTCACCTGACGTTGGAGTCTACGACATGTTGTTATCCATCGATTTACTTCTGATCACAAGTAAGATCAGTGGCACCGTCTGTGGGAAACTTGCTCCCCCATATTTCCTTTCCCTGAAACTGAAAGATCAAAGCACAAGAATTCTAAAAACCAATAATGTCCGATCAACACGACAACAACGTTCGCGAAACCGCCTTCACTCCCGTCCACGACGTCGGAAACGACAACAACATGCCAATTCTGGAAGACATCACTCTAGCGAAGAGAAACAGACAAACCACTTCTCCTTTCTTCGACGAGGCAGCCGATGACGACGTCCAGTATGTTGAGACCCAGAATATTCAAAAGGCTCTGGAGAAGACACCGAAGAAATTCCAGCCAATGCCAGTGTCGACCAACGCTGGCCCGACCATGACAGTCCTAGTCGCGACCATCAACTAGACCAATATGTTGATCTATCAAGAAAATGAGAGGATCAGAGCATTGTAGAGAGACCACCATCCATGCTCTCCCCCGCGGAGACACCAACGATGCGAGTCTCGCAGCCTGTCGCCACAATAACCGGGCTGTCGACCACAACTGGAGAGGCCACATCCCCTGAAGCGCAACCACATTCTTCCCTGCAAGGACCACCTCTCCCCGGTTTCCAAGAAGAAAAAGGTCGAAGGATGACCAGACAACCGTCTGTCACCCCAACAAAAATGTAAAGGCCGACCAAAGAACTCACGACCGTGCCACGAGGGCAGTCCCTGACGGGAGAGGTACAACTACTCTCCGTCATGCTCACCACTCAAGAGCGACGAAGATGACCCCCGCGGTCCGCTCTCTCGAGCGATCATGGACGCTTCACTTCCCATCGGGTTGAAAAAATCCCTGAACCTGGGGACATATGATAGAACGACAGATCCCGACAAGCACCTCGAGAACATCGATGCACTGCTCGACTACCGCGGCGTCAGAGGCGTCATCAAGTGCAGAATATTCCCGACGACCTTGAGGAAAGGTACCATGACATGGTACAAAAGTCTTGCTAAAGATTCCATCACTTCCTGGAAGGACCTAGGAAGATAGTTCTCGAGGCACTTAACTGCCTCTCGTCACCATCCAAAGTTTGAGGCGACACTCGAGGTGATCATACAGGGGAAGGATGAGTCTATATTGTAGTTATATATCTAAAACAAAACCAAAGACAAAATCAACCCAAGATGAACTTTCCAAACATAAAATTAGCATTACAATGATGATTCCAACAAAAAAATTAAATACTACATTTCAATATTCTGGTGGACGTTTCCACATCTCCAAGATATCATCGACCGATCTTCGTAGTGTCACTTCCAACTCAAGCGGAACTTTCTCTTCGGAATCGAAGAACGTTCGCCACATCGCTATAACATCCGCTCGAGTCTTGAGCTCAAATTTGTTGAACACAGTGTTCCATTCGTTGTCAACCGAGGGTGAACGACACTCAAGTTTGACAACCCTTCGTGTGTCTCCGTAAGGTAGGAGATAGTGGATTCCGTCTATGATATCGTCGAGGGAGGTAAGATCGACGAGCTTAAACGTCCTCCCAGGTGTAAAGGCGTCGGAGTAGGAGACACTTGTGACATACCAACAAATGTTTATTTCACACATTTGAGACATTTTGAATTCGTGTGAAGTATAACATAAGAACACCCAAATTTATAGAAGACTTAACTCAATAAAGATCACTCGTTGTCATGTTTTCTCTAAATGGTTCCAAAAATATATCTTAGGAATAAATCTTTAACAATTACATTGGGCGTTATCAAAAATAACCTTTTTTAAATGTGAAAAGAGTGCGTCTAGAGATATATGTTTAAAAACTATAGAGATTATATAAAATTTGGATGATGTCGAACAAATACATAAGTGAGCTTAAGAAATTCTATAAAAAAAAACTCGTATGTTTCTCACAGCAACGCTGCTACAAAAGCACCTGGCGCCGCATCCGTCCGTCCAACTCAAAAGCAACGCCTCCCCCACTTAGAAAAACTACATTCATCTTCTTTTCATAAACAACAATGCTATTCTTACACCCATATTTGACACCAAGTATTTACACCCTACACTGTTCGCCGTATTTATACGATGAACAATGTTTTTAAATAAAAAAATATATTTATGAACAGTGTAATGTGATAAATAGTGCATGAACAGTACATCCGTGAACAATAATTTTACGTAGAGAAATGAAGTTGGTTAATGAAATGATGAAGTTGATTAATAAACGTCTAAAATTTTAAAAATAATTTAACGTCCAAAATTTTAAAAATAATTTCTAATAGTAAAATAAAGTTGGTCAATGAAAAGAAAAAAGTTGGTTAATAAAATGATAAAGTTGGTTAATGAACGTTCAGATATTAAAAATAATTTTTAATAATAAAATAAAATTGATTAATTAATTTAATAATAATAATAATAATAAATTTTATATTTTTAAAAAGTATTTATTATTGTAAAATTTAAAATAAATAAATAAATAACTTCTCTTTTTATTTTGATTTAAAAATAGGAAAGAAAAATTAATAATAAAATATTAAAGGATAATACTAACTTGTGCTCTAGGAACACATGTTAAAAATTAAATGTAAAACTTGTGTTTTTATTTTATCAAAAATTTATAATTAATTTTTTATTATTGTTTTCCAATACAAATATTTCATTTATAAATTTTTTAAAATGTAGCTTAAATGAGTGTAGAAATTAGAATTATCCAATATTAAAATTAGATTTTATACGGTATAGTGTATGATTGGAGCGTAAAATATCATTTCTCTTTCAGGCGATTTTAAAACTTCAGTGTGCCTCTTCAACCAACACCACCGTGTTAGAGCTAGAAGAATGGAAGACGAGACGGAGAAAGAAATTAGTTCAGATAACAAAGAAGCAGAAGCAGCGTTACAGAAAAAGCACTTATCAATGCTAGATCGTCTCTCCAAACGCCAACAATCCCGTTCAACCAACTCCACCGAACCTTCCACCGAATCAACTTCCTCCTTCTTCTCCCGCTTCTCCCAACTAAAATCCTCCATCGAATCTCTTCTCGCCGAGTCCCAATCAATTGCTTCCGATCCATCTCAGCTCAAATCTCACTTCGACAAAATCTCCGAATCAATCTCCGATTTGGAAAAACTCGTCGCTCAAAGCTCCTATTTTCTTCCTTCTTATGACGTTCGATCTTCCCTTAAAACTGTTTCCGATTTGAAACGTAGCCTTGATAATCTCAGCTCCGAGCTTATCCCTAAAAAGAAATTCTCGTTCAAGAATAAGGCTAGTAAGAAAGAGCGAGATTCAGTTGTTCCAGAATCCAAAACGGTTCGTGATTCTGTTCAACCGAGCTATGTGGCGCGTGATTCTCCAGGGTTTAGGAACAAAATCGGTGAAGTTTTGGTTGGGGAGTTTAAAGAATCGGAGATTGGGGAATTCACGATTTCGGATCTTGATTCTTGTGAAGTGAGGATAATTGGTTGCATTAGGGCGCTTTTCATTCATAGATTGAAGGACTGTAGGGTTTACGTTGGGCCAGTGACGGGATCGATTCTGATTGAGGAAGCCGAGTGTTGTGTTTTCGCTATTGCGTCGCATCAGATTCGGATTCATGGTGCTAGAAAAAGTGATTTCTACCTTAGGGTTAGGAGCAGGCCTATAGTTGAGGATTGTAATGGTGTGAGATTCGCGCCATATTGTTTGAGTTATGGGGGGATTGAAGAAGATCTTTCCGGTGCTGGTCTTGATGTGGAGACTGGAAATTGGGCCAATGTGGATGATTTCCGGTGGCTACGTGCGGTGCAGAGTCCAAACTGGTCGATTTTGCCGGAGAATGAGAGGGTTGGGATTGTTGATATATCTAATTCGGAAAGTATGAAGGAGGAAATTTAATTTCAGTTGTAGAGCTAGTTTTTTCAAGATTGTTTATTTTCATTTTATCAGTTCATTAATATTATAACTGTGAGAGCTATTTGATTCTTCTTCATCCTCCTAGGAATACTCTTATCGGATTTTTGATGTTGAGGTTGACTTGATTTTTGAAATACGAATGGTAGTATTTATGTTAGGCTGCATGCTTTTGTGTTAGTCAATTCAGGAATCACTGCATTTATGTTAGAAATTTAACCAATGAACAAATCAACCAAGAGGTTGTTAACCTAAAAGGCGACTTAGTCCTGCTTAGTGTTGAGAAATCTAATAGCAACGATGGCTTCAATCTCAGCAATTTTCGGAAATTGCGCAAGCAGGTATATTTTCTATCTTTAGGTTATTGATTCTGTTTTGAGTTCTGCATGTTTTCTCTTTAGGTTATTATTCTGTTCTTGTTTAATATTTGAACAGTTGAATTGATCCAATGACTTGTAATGATGCAATAGAGAAAATAATAGACACATTAGGTGGTTAGGGTCCTGATCTAAAAAAGTAAAACCCTTCAAGCAAAACTATTTCTCATTGTTTCCGTGAAAGAGAGAATGAAAAGGCTTGGATCTATGCCAGTTATGGACTGAATTGACCATTGTACCATTTCATTTGATTCTGATGGCTGACATAAATTAATTGATCCCCGTATCTCCCATTGCCTGTACCATTTCATTTGATTCTGATGGCTGACATAAATTAATTGATCCCCGTATCTCCCATTGCCTTCCCCTACTGCCAGGTTTATTAAGGACCCAGCATATCCAAACCCCATTTACTAGTAACAGATTTCCTCCACTGTTACTACCTAGTTTTCTATTCTAACTCCCCTTCCTCCTTTTCTCCCTTCTGCAATACACCCTAATAATTGGAGGGCTGTGATTTGGCTCATCATCATTTACCCGCGGATAAAAAACTGATTTGGGAAGAGGGAGTGCTAGGATTAAGTTGGCAGAAAAGCAGAGCACTAGGATTTAGTGTGCTTTGATTCCATGGAGAAAACAAGATATGCAGACAATAGAAAAGAACTAGGCCTAGTTCTTTGAATGGAGAGATTGCAAACGGTCATGCTGATCCATTCTCATTTATTTATAGTTTTTAAAGATGACCTAATAAGGTGTAACTTCAGATGATACTAAAGAACTTTACTGACATGTAAAGATCCTTTTTTCAGGGTCTGCATAAATGCTTACGTTTCTTGATTTTGTAATTTTTGGATGGATGCTAACTGTTAATATCAATACAGATTGCTCGCTTGCTTACTTTAAAGCGGGAAAGAGAGATTGAGGAGGGTATTGGTAAGAGGTTGTCCAGAAAGCTAGATAAAAAGTGGAAGAGAAGCATTGTTGTAAAACCAACTCCAACTTTATTGAAACCTGCAGAAGCTGAGGTTGCATGAGCCATCAGATTAAATATGCAAGTTATAGAGTTAAGTGGCTAAAATTGTTGTTAGACTTTGTTTTTATGGTTTTGGTGGACGTTGTCATCTTGTTGTGTAGTGTAATACTATCTTGTTTGTAGTAACCTACATTTCTGGAATGTTTTATGCCTTGTATGTTGTAAGAAAATGTGGAATGCTTTATGCCTTGTATGTTGTAAGAAAAGAGTCAGGGTAATCAAAATCAAGATTCACCTTCAAGTTAGGTGAACACTTTTTTTACCAGAAATTTCAAATATTGTGTTATAATTTTTTGGATCACTAAATGTAGATGACAATAAGGGAAAAGGAATTGCCCCACATTCCGACACTCAACAAAACAATTTACATGCAAGAGAGTTCAAGAGATAAAAGAATGTCTTTTCTGTCAGCTTCTCTTCCCATTGTGTTAAATCAACAAATCTACACTTAATAGGTTTTGTAGTGAAGATATAGCAGTAGTTTCTGACGCCGAATAACATATTTCTTTGCTTTGTTAGTCACACAAACCTTCAAATTGTTCAGCACCAAACATTATACAAGATTTCCTTTTCTACGCTAGTAAATCACTTATTCAAGTTTAAGACTGATGTGTGAGCATTCTAAACAAATTTATAACATTTAAGTGAAAAATTGGTAACGAATTCATTCCAATAATAGGAAAATATAGGCAAAAATATTTTCTATATCTTTTAAGTTATTTTAAAATATTAAATTAGCACTTTAAGTTTTTTTTAACGCTTTGGTCATTTATGTTAAGTAACGTTTGCGTCTTTCCTTTTTAAAAATCTCCGTTCTAAAGAAGCCTATGTGGACATTTAACAATGATGATGTGTTATTTTATTTTATATTTATTTTTTAATTTTACGTGAATTTTAATTTTAATTTTATTCATTTATTTATTTATTTATTTATTATTATTTTTATTTATTATTCTATTTTAACTGAAAAGACCTTATTGTTACATTTTAAAAACATATGGGATGTGAGTATTACAAATTAAAATATAACTTATACATTGTTTTATATTATTTTGAATCCTAAACAATAATTGATGTGTTGTTTTACACTATTTTGAACTTAAACAATTACAAGACAGCGTACTAAATATTAAATAATTTAAATATTGTCAAAAGTATTGTTATAATGTTATAAACCAATACATGGATAAATAAATACATACATAATCTAACAAACAGTGATAAAAATATAACAATACATGTATTAGTTTATAACATTATAACAATTCTTATAATGATTTTTTCTCCTTATGATTTATTACCTGTACAGTTCAAATAAAGGAAAACATAAATAGGAGATAACAACTGTAATACCCCAAATTTTGCCCTAAGATTAGTCGTTTCATCTTGCATCCCATTTCATTGTGCATTGCGTTTAAACTAACCACTAACGGGTGGTGCAGTTGTTTGATTGTTGCAAGAAAATATCATGTGGCGCGCTCTTTTAGTTTACAGGGTTTCTAGTGCCACTTTATTTTGAATGAATAAAATAGCACAATTGGCAAGAGACCCTGTGTAAGGAGTTGCGAGTTTCAAAGGTTGAGAGTTTGAATCCCACCTTCTTCACTTTTTAAGTGAGTCTCAAAGGTTGAGAGTTTGAATCCCACCTTCTTCACTTTTTAAGTTTGTTTTAGTTTGTTTTTTTTTAGCTTTGACTAATTATTTAAGTAAGGTTGAGAGTTTGAATCCCACCTTCTTCACTTTTTATATAAAAGAATAAATAGAAGATGACATGCAAGGATTGAAGGAGAGGAAAAGCTTCGATAGTCATCCATGGAGAAAACGGCAGAAGCCTTTTTATTTACGTTTCATTTTTTTATTTTATTATTCAATTGTTTATTTTTTCATTTATATTAACTATGTAGTTTGTAATTAATAATGCAATTAAGTTTAGGTAAGCTATTTCAACAAAACAAAAAAAACATAACGTAATCAGTTTTTTTAAAAATTAAGATCTTTCTAAAAAGTTTTTTTCAAAAATTAAACCATTTTTTATTTAAAAACATATTTCTAAATAAAACAGTTTTCTTAATTAAAGCTTTTTTCCAATTAAAACCATTTTTCATTAAGTTAACACAAAAATTAATAAATGACCTTTCTTTCACTAAAACAAAAATTAAAACCTTTTTCGTTGAATTTAAATCAAATTTTTTCATTAAAATTTAAAACATTTATTTTCGATAAAATTAAAACATTTTTTTTCAAGACATTTTTTCATTAAAATTAAAACCAGTTTCTTTATTAAAATTTTTAGTAAATAATTAGAATAGTTTCTCCATTTAAGCATGAAATTAATTCCCCTCTCCTCTTCTCAATAAAAACTCAAAAAGAAATAAGTTTTGATTTAGCCGTTTAATTTTTGTCTAACCCTCGTTAATTTGTTTGTTTCAACTCGTTATTATTTCATTTGTTCGTTTTTGTTCCATGGATGTAATTTACGCGAGGCCATGGTCGCGGTTATTTTATTTTGCATTTTTTGGGAATTTGTAATTTACGCGAGTGATCGTCGCGATGCTTTTTTTTACCGCTTTCTTTATTTTTCCGCACTTTAATTCTGCCGAATAGTAATTTGTCGTATTTTGCATGTTTTTACCGTTAGAATCCCTCCGAAGGAATTAGGTTTAGCCGTTTGACCGCCGAGTCAATAACCCTAATTTTTGACTATTCCAAAACCCTAGTAGCCTAGGCATCCCCCCGTGGACTAAAATAAAGTGGGCATTAGGTTAGAGTTAACCCTAATTTGTTACCTATATAAACAGAAGTTGTGTTTGATAAAAGGAGGAAGAAGACAAAAAGAAAAACGGCGGTCGTTCTCACGATTTATCAGAAGAGGGAATTTTTTTGGAAGAATCCTAAAAGGTTTGAATTCATTATCGGCCAAGCGCTACCGGTGAGCAAAAAGTCCCAACGGCGGAGGCTCAGTTCGTTCAACATCATTGTCGTTACCGTAAGCTTTCTCTTTCCATTGATTTACGACATTTTATGATTTTTGTGTGTTATTTTGTTCATTGATTGTAGATTAATGGGAAGAATAAATAAAAGATGACATGCAAGGATTGAAGGAGAGGAAAAACTTCGATAGTCATCCATGGAGAAAACGGCAGAAGCCTTTTTATTTACGTTTCATTTTTTTATTTTATTATTCAATTGTTTATTTTTTCATTTATATTAACTATGTAGTTTGTAATTAATAATGCAATTAAGTTTAGGTAAGCTATTTCAACAAAACAAAAAAAACATAACGTAATCCGTTTTTTTAAAAATTAAGATCTTTCTAAAAAGTTTTTTTCAAAAATTAAACCATTTTTTTATTTAAAAACATATTTCTAAATAAAACAGTTTTCTTAATTAAAGCTTTTTTCCAATTAAAACCATTTTTCATTAAGTTAACACGAAAATTAATAAATGACCTTTCTTTCACTAAAACAAAAATTAAAACCTTTTTCGTTGAATTTAAATCAAATTTTTTCATTAAAATTTAAAACATTTTTTTAATTAAAATTTAAAACATTTATTTTCGATAAAATTAAAACATT